AATGAACCATTTGGAGCATTCTGTGCGGAAAGGGGGCCATAACCTTAGCAATGATGATACATATAAAAACAAGAAGAGTTGAACAACTAAAGGAAATGAAGAATAAGGAGGGAATATTAATTAAGATGTTCAAATTCGAAGAATGATCCTTCTATACCTTAATGTCATCCATCATTGCTGCAAAATCTAAACCTTCAGACCCTGAGTGATAATAATGGTAGGTTTTCTGAGGGACCTGGGCATCTCACCAAATGTTGTGGTGGCTGTTCGAATCTCATATTGTAAGCAAGGTAAATTGAGAGAAAGGGAGACTGAGAAGGCAACATATTAACTTCTCAATCTTATACCTGAACTTGTACAGGCCCTAAAAAATGAGGTAAGAGAGAAAGGAATTAGTGTCTTAAAGACAATATAGCAGGAAAACTCACTTAGCCCAAGTTGTGACTGGTATATAGATTTGGGAATCAGTACAAAAACGCTTTTGAAAGTCGGCAAAAAGTTGGCATGCACCAGTCCCAGATAGAGTTTGCACTGCTGCTATCCTTTTGTCTTTTATCAACTCAGAATTCTCTCCATAGGCCAACTTCAGTGTTTCTTCCACCATCTTCACACTTCCTCCCATAGGAAGATATTCCCTGATCAAAAGAAAACATAAGGAGAACATAAGGTTATACCCTATCCTAAAAAAGGTAACTTGTAAGGTTTACCACTAGTGGATTAGAAAAGTCTTGACAAGGAAGGTCAATAAAGAGGGAGTTGGTACCTTGAAAAAAGATTGAACCTCTACAAATTATTGCATTTGATTTTCTTTTTCAACTCATTTAATTATTTAATTTGCTTATCCTTGCTTTCAATTACTTGAATTTTTATTCCTCATATTTGACTTGCTTCCAATTACCTGAATTGTTTATTTCTCATATTTGACTTTTAATTTTGTTTAAATTTTTAAGAAACCAATTCACCCCGTTTCATTTACTACTTTGAGCTAACAATTCTCATAAATGATCCTTTAGAAAATGAATCAAGACATAATGAAAAATGAAAAATTAAATAACACAACAAAACAACCATAAATGTCATAAGCCACTTTCTTGCATGAATCATTTTCTATTATAAAAATAAAAACTTCAATACACTTATATTTTAGACACTACAAGAAAATATGTCAATAGCAATGAAAAATACTGACAAAACGTTTTGTCGCTAAAAGTTATTATTAGTGACGGATTTCTTAAAGAATAGCAACTAATTTAAGATGAATAATATTTTAGTTTTAGCGACAGATTTAGTGACGAAATTCCATAGATAAAAATACCAAATTATCGATTGTAACTACATTCTATTGTAATTTTCGTCACTAATTACGACGAGCCAAAATTGTGAGAATAACTCTAAAAATAGCGACATAATTAATGACGAAATTTTCGTCACTAATACTCTTAAACCATTTTTTGTATTAAGTAAAATAAATATATTTTTTTGGAATTTTTATTAGTCGAGGAATTTCCCATTCTAATTCCTTAAAATTGAATTTTACTTAAAAAAAAAAGGATTTTTAAGATTTTTTTATTACCAACAAAACTCCATTGCCAATTGGCCAAAATTCCATTGCTAAGAATTGGCAACATCTTTCGTTAATGGAATTTTGATATATTAGGATAGGAATTCCATCAACAATTAGTTTGTTTCTCATTAAAATAATTTTTTTAAATGATAAGGCATTATCAACGAAATTCCATCACTAATGCCTAATCATTTCGAATTTTCTACTCTTTTTCTTTTTCATTCTCTCTTCCCTCCCAACCCTCCATTATATAGAAGTTGCATAGGCTAACACCGGCCACATCCAACCACCTCTGACTGCCAGCAGCATCCTTGAACCCAACCAGATTGAAATGGACCTAGATTCAACCATAAATCATTCCCAAACTACCCAAAACCAACCTAAAACTCCCTCACTATTTTCTCCATTTTTTGGCAAACTACCTGCTCCCTTGTCGGTTTCTTCCACACCAAATCAAATCCCAAAAATCTCCCGACTCCCTTCTCTCCTTCTCTCTTGTTAAACCTTTTTTTTTTTTTGTTTTTTATTTATTTTTTTAGTTAAATTTGGTTATGCATTTAATTTATGTTTTCTTATTTTTTTGTTATTATTGTATTTTAATTTTTTAATATAACTATATTTATGTTAAAATTTTTAAATTTGATTTATATTTTATAGTTAATTTAATTTTTTGAAAATTTTATTTTGTAGGATTTAGGATACAACAATTTGGTTATTTCGCCTTACAATTCAACAACACTAGGTATTTTCTTTTTCTATTAAATTTTTAAAATTTTGATTGTGAAACAAAACCTTTGGCTTATTTGAGTAATTTATGAAATTTGTGTGGATTTATGTGAAATTTGTGCGGAAAGAGTTGAAATTTGTGTAGAACTAATGTTAAATTTAGGTAATTAAAGAATTTTAGATAATTTTGTGACATTTGTGTAATTTATGTGAATTATGTGAAATTTGTTGAATTTATTATTTTTTGCCCTGTGATTATAAGTTCTTGCATGAATTGAAGAAAATTTTTTATTGATGTGGTACACCTTAATTTGGAAGCCATGATAATGATGATTAAGAGGAATAGCTTTCAACTTTTTTTAATAGCATCATTGTTAATGAGTAGAAATAAATATCTTATACAATTATGCTTAATGTTTAATGGAGGTTAAACATTTGTTGCCATGTATATTTTTAATTGTAATACAGGCTTCATGCATAGCCAATTGAAGGTCTTATAAATAGATCTTGGTTGAACACATAGTTGTGTTGCATGTCTTGAACATTGAAAACTTTATGCATAAATTTTAATCATTTTTATTATTGAAGCGATTGAACTTTTATTGATGATTATGAATGGTTATAAATATTTATGGATTTATTTTATAATTAAGTAAGGATGTTTATGATGATTGTTTTATGAATATCATGAATTTATATGAAAATAAAATGAATGTTGAATTCTAGTTTTTTTTTTTTAGTTAATATAAGATTTAATGGATGATATCATATTTGTAATTGGGAAATTAGTTAAAAAGTAAAAAAAAAAAAAGATTGATCCTTTTGAAGGAATGATTAATCTTCCATGAATAGATATCAATCTCCAAAATCCAAAAAATTGTTTGAGGTACAAGATTTTCCATCATTAATGGGTTTTAGTGATAGAAAATCAAAAGGGATTGATCCTCCTTCACACAAGATCAATTCCCAAATTCATAGAATTAATGTTTGAGCAATGGAAATTCCTCCGCTAATATATTTTAATGACGATTCATAAATTTTTTATTTTATTTTTAAAAAATATCCAACCTTTATAGACACAATTTGTGTTGTTAATTGGTTTTAGTGATGGAATTATATATTTTATTTTTTAAAATATTAAAAAAACTTTAGCAACAAATTTTTGGTCGCTAACTTTTAGCAACAATTTAGTTTTTTAAATTTATTTAAAATGATAATTATTTTAACAACAAAATTAAGGTATTAGCTATAAAATTTTCTGTCGCTAATAATTCACTCAAATGATAATTATACTTTTGCCTTCTTCACATTTTTCAATAAATTTTTAGCAATAAAAACTCCGTTGCCAAAACTAATTTCAATTAGAAAGAAGATATTAGTGACGAAATTTTCGCCACTAAATATCTATTCTCTTGCAGTGAGAATCACCGTCCACAAACATCAATAAAATAATAACACAGTTTAACACCTTACCTACACCAAAACAATTCTAGTAAAGTAGCAGCGCACAATAGAACTGTCCATGAGAAAGAGATAAAGAACTAATAAAATTAAATATACATATATATATATATATATATATATATATAATCAACAAAAAATACTTAATTATCAATATTATAAAAAAATATAACTAAATTCAATTTCTACAACTATACACCACAGATAATTTTTTTAAAATTTTCTTCTATTTTTTGCAATTATACATTAAAAATAATTGTTTATGATATCAAAAATCAAATTTGAAAATATGCTATCAGTCGTTGAAAATGTAATTTTGAATAATTTATATTTGATAAAATCTGATTTAAGCTAAATAATTCATCCAAAATCCAATTTGATTTAACTTTAAAAGTTAATAACTTGAATTTGATAAGACGTTTTGAAAAAAAAAAATAGTAAGACCTGACTTTGAATGATCTAAATTTGATTATTAAATATGAATAATCTAAATTCTAAATGATTTAAATTGAAATGATTTAAATTTTATATAATTCAAACTTAAAATAATTTTTATTCAAATAATTAAACACGAAAATGATTTAAAATTTTTCTGCACGTAATGGCTTGGATACAAAGCGGACTGCTTATTTGCCACCTCTACTTAATGGTGCTGTGGTAGAAGCGGGGTTTGCTATTCATATAGGCATCAGCAACCAATGAATGCTAGTAAAGAAAATTTAACTAATAAAAGTGAAAACGTCCAAATATGCAATGTTTTGTCCATTTCTGCTTAATTAAGAAACAAATCAACAAAAAAATGTGATGTAAGTAGACAAATCAAAATTGAAGAGTGGTTGGTGGATCCATGAAAACCTTCTCCGAAGGAAAAAAACATGGATGGAAAGTCAAAATAAAAAAATGGTGAGGGAGGGCGGACAAGCAAACGAATGCAAGACGGGAAGGGTTTGTTGGAGTGTGTGTGAGAGGAGAGGCAACAATTATCCACAAGCTGACACGTGCTAAACGTACGCGCCTCTCTAGATTCTTGGAAACCAAATGGCTCTCCTTTTGCCATCTCAGCATTTAACCCTTCTTCGTATGAATTTCCCCCTCCTCAAAAATTTCCATATTATTTCAATAATCCCAAAAAAAAAAGGAATCTAATAATAATAATAAATCTGTTTTTTCAGTTTCTCTGTCTCTCTTTCTGTCTTGAACACCCTAGAAAGGAGAGAGATTTTTTTAACTTTGAAATTTGCATGCAGAAATGGCTCAGCTACTCTCTCCTGCATGTACAGATGCTCTCAAACTCCATAACCCATCTTTAAATATGTGCAAAAGAAGCTCATGGAAGGCCATGGCTATAGGTGGAACTTCTTGTAACTTGATGGGTCATGGTGGTAAAAGAAGAGGTTGTGGCAGAGTCAAGGTTGCAACAGGGGATCCGGCTTCCAGTAACTCTCTTGCCGATGATTATTATGCCGTTCTTGGTGTGGTAATTCTTTTCAAATTTCTTCTCACTTCTGGTATACTTATTTTATGATAAAATGTAAGAAAAAAAAAAGGAGAAAATTGAAGTGTGAGTACTGCTGTTAGTGGGATTGATGTAGTTGTCTTCTATGATTTGGATGTAAACATAAAACTAGGTTGTGTTGTCTCAGCAATTTATGTCATCTGTCTGAGGAAAAGTTTTTGTCTACTCTGTTGCTGTTCAAACTTTGAATTTTCGATTGCTGTATGTTTCCTTTATGATATTAAGTAAACCTTACTGTTTGTGTTCCGATTCATCATCGTCTTGGTTTAGGTTATTGATGATGAATATGGCGATGTTAATGCCCTCCAATGAACATTTCTTTAGCAATGTTTTCTTGAGGAAAAATGTTTCTTTATGCTTGATTTTGAGATTGGTAATTCTTGGTTGTTTCTTTCAAAATTCATTGATTTGTTGGGAGTGAATCTGATGGTTAAAGTACTTCGGTTGATTCATTGGAAGGATAAACATTAATGGATAGTGATAAAGTTCCAGAAATTATTTGATACTGAAATTTTTACTCCACAAGCGGGATTAAGAGATTGACTCGTATCCACTTTTTTTTTTTTTTTTGGCATACTCTAAGAGGTACATGCCATCCTGTTAATCCCACTTGTAAAGTTTAAAAACTCCGTGATAATTTCTCAAAATATATGTTTGCAAGTGTTCTAACTTAATAGATATTCATCTTAGCTATTTGGAATCATCTGTTCAATATATATTTATCTTGTCAAGGTAATTACTATGTGACAAATTTCGGTAATCTAATTTCGATTGGCCCGTTTTCATAGCTTCCGGATGCCACCCCAGAGGAGATTAAAAAGGCCTATTATAATTGCATGAAGACTTGTCATCCAGACTTAAGTGGCAATGACCCAGAAACTACAAATTTTTGCATGTTCATCAATGAGGTCTATGGGGTGTGTTCCCATTCCGAACCAACTTTTGTATAATGTAAATATTTAACTTTTCCACTGCTATAATAGAACTATTTCAATGCAGATTCTCAGTGACCCTGTACAGCGCATGGTTTATGATGAAATTCATGGGTATGCATTGACTGCAATCAATCCTTTCATGGATGATTCCGCTCCAAAGGATCACGTATTTGTCGATGAGTTTAGTTGCATAGGTATGAGTTTGCATTGCTGGGCTTTATCTGGTTCACATTCTTAATCAGTTCTTTGCAATGATTATTGATTTATTTCCCAAGTGTCTTAGATCTCCACTAAAAGATTTTGGCCTTTCTAAATGGTTATTGATTTATATTTTGCTTAAGTACAACCTCAATAGAGGTGACCATGATATGAACAGACGTTTTTCTTTTTATATACATATATTTGAGGTTACCTAGATTTGAACACTGATCACTGGGACTAAAAGGCCAACAATTTACCAGCAGGCCACGCAGATGTTGGCTAGCAGATGTGCTTTTAGGATGCTGTTCTCTAAAATTCCACTTTTATTTTTACTTTTTTAAATCATTACATGGAAACTATAACGGTAGCTAAAGATATTCTACTTGCTATTAGAATGAAGCTATTATAAGAGCATAAGTCCTACCAGTCTAAGAATTTCAAATTGACACCTCTTATGAGCTAATTTTCTTCACAGGCTGCAAAAATTGTGCCAATGTCGCCTCAGATGTGTTTAGAATTGAGGAAGACTTTGGACGAGCCAGAGTACATAGTCAGTGTGGGAATCCCGAATTAGTTCAACAGGCAATAGACAGTTGGTAGGTTTTTAATTGCTTCTGGTATATATCATCCTCTTTCTGTTAACTATGCTAAATATTCATGAGGAATCCTGGTGAAAGCTTATCCATGAGGAAATTTGAGACCCCAGCTTGAAGTTTTGTCTGTATTACGTTGTTTCCATAACTTATAATCAATCATATGTGCAAAGGAAGACATTTTGGAAAGATAAAGTTGTCAACTATGGTTTCTGCTTCTGTTCTACTCCCATTTCTGTTATGGTAGGATGAGAACATTTCCTCTCATTGATTATATCATTGATGTATTTTGGCATAAATCTTTCTAGGCCTGTTCAAAGTTGTCTCATAGTGATATAAGTAGTGCTCAGGTTTAGTTTAACATGGGTAAATACAATCAATTACGAGAGCAATTGCAATGAGGCCTTGGCTTGGCAGTGGCGGATCTAGGATTTATTTTTCAGGGATGTCCACTTACAATATATATACAAAAAAAATACTGACAGATTTACTAATTTTATCAACGGAAGGTGGACAGAAAAATTTTGGGGGTGTCAAGGTCAAAATTCTCATTCAAATTTTCTTATTTTCTAATTTTTGGGGTGTCCACTTTACCTGTGGATCCGCTAATATGGCTTAGTGGCAAGGAGGAGGCCTGGAATCATCAGGTTCTAGGTTCAAGTCTCATCAAGTGTGGGTTTAGACCAACTGTATGTTGGATTTCTCCCATCACAATAGTTTCAGGAACGCTGTTAGCAATTTGTAGCAGAACAGATCTTTATATTTTACTTGCTTGTTGTAAAATTAAGGGGTTTATATGGTTGCTGATCAACGTTGACATTGTCTTCTTTATTCAGCCCAGTTGATTGCATCCACTGGACTTCTGCAGCACAATTATCCTTGCTTGAAGATGAAATGCGCAGAGTCGAAAGAGTGAATGTAAGAAACACAGTCGCTCTATGGTTATTTTCTCCAAGTTCATAGTAGAGAAAATTAACCTTGATAAAATATGAGCATGTTGAACTGCTTAACCTTTCTGAAATTTTCTTTTAGACAGTTCATGGGTTTAGAAATCTTAAGTGAGATATTAATAGATCAAATACTAGTCGAACTGATCAATTCTGGTTTGAACTTTGAGATGTTTGAAGTTATCATGAAAGTTATCAATTCTGTTTCTGTCATTGCCACTGTTCTTGTTTCTCTTCTCTCAACCACTCCAAACCGCTTGCATCTATTAAACTTGTATTTAAATGCAAATTGAGTTTCCTAAATTCTTTCATGTTGGAACATCATACTATTTATGTCTGTGGTTAGAATCTTTCCAAGACTAAAAAAGGAAAAGAATCCTTCTTGTCAATAAGGGTTCTGCTTGTAGCTGAAAATCAGACACATGAAGCTAGAACGCGGAAAGCTAACATATACATATTCTTTCAGAAACTGGTGTAATTATGTAGTGAAACACGTGGATGCTTCATTCGAAATTTGATTGAATGTTTTTCGCATCATGTTATATGAACTTCAGCATAATATCAAACTCATGCCCTTTTTGTTGGTAATTTTGCTTTTTTTATTTTTGTTAATTAATATTGTTAAATGTGTGCCAACATTTTCCACAATGAAACAAAAACAAATTGAGTTTAGTCTTTCAGTGATACATTAGTAAATCTATTCCGGTTTGTCGCTTTAATTGCTAAAACTTTGGCTCTTTTGAATGGACGATCAGGTTGCATTGATGCTTTCAGGAATGGGATCTGCATCAGCGGATGTATTCAGAATGGTAAAAGTGATACTTAAATTATGTGATCATACCATTGCTGGTTTAACACTTAATTTTTTTTACAATTAACCTCGAATTGTTTGGCAGGCAAATTCTCGATGGGAGAAGAGGCAGGCAAAAGTTTTGGTCGGAATTCTTCTCATTTGAATGTTCTCAAATAAATCTTTAGCAATTAGCTAACATCTTGTTTCACTCACTCGTTTCACTCATTTAAGTACGTGAGGTGCTTTGAGTGTTCTTCAATCCTTTAACAGCATTAGGAAAAGGAGATGCCTTCTAAGAGTTCATTTGGGAGCTCGATTAGAGGCCTCCCACCTTATCGACTAAAATAAACAGCGAGTACTTAAACTCTGTTCCTCATCTCTTTTTCAGGAGCAAGCTAAAATAAGGATGATGCAGCAGAAAGATTCCAGCAAAACTGACACATATTGGAGCAACCTTTGGGGCAATCCAAAAGAATACAAGAAATCAGGTAAGTGGAATTTGATAATTGTTAATATGTTGTTGTAGCCAAATCTTTCTTTTTTACTCTTTCTGTTGCTTTGATTTAAGATTTGTTGTTGTTTGTCCAAACAAATTTCAGAATCTCTGACAATTTCATAGTTTGTTTTATATGTCATAAGAATAGCGAGATGTTTTTTACTGCATGCTGATACCAGAATTTGACTTTTATACCAGAAGTTTATGGGTTGCTTCATAAAAGGAAACCACTAAATCTGACAATTCATTTGTGTTATATAAAATATTAGTAATTTATGCATTCATGTCATGTTTTACACGAAAATTATCCGTCACAATTCGTGTCAACACAGAAAACACAATACATTTTCTGGTTTTTGTTAAAGACAGGTATCATTTTGTGAAAATTTTAACCCATGTACCTTCGTATCTTTTTCTTACATTGTTTTCGTATCATATCATCTTCTTGTATTTTAAATTCACAAGTCTAGAAACCACTTATGGGTTATTTCAGATAAAAGTTTCTTTTAGTTTTCCCATCATGTTACATGTAAACCTGAAAATTTGCTTTGTTTACTGGGGTTCATAGTCTGATTGTGTGATGAAGCCTGCTTAGGCTGGAATTAAGTTAACTGAAAATGAATTGTTGTTGCAGAGGAGGAAGTGAAGGGGAGAGCAAGAAGGGCTGCAGCAGCTGCCCGAAGATGGAGGGAATATTCAAGGAGGGGTGTGGATAAGCCTCCCACCTTTAAACTTCCAGAGGCAGTCTCCAACAAAGAAAATTAATTGACCTGACCAGTAATTATTAGCCATTTTACCATTTATATTCTTAAACTCAAAATCAAATGCATATTAGTTTGTGTACATGCACAATTTACCAATAGCATTACCACTCAAATTAGTTTGTTTACATGCAATTAGTTTGAAAAAAAAAAAAAAGCATTACCACTCAAACTTAAATTTCTATCTATATGCAAAGGGACCATACTAGTAACGGATTCAAAATTATTTCAAAATGTGTTCACTTATAATATATATAAAAAATTATTGATAGATTTGTTAATTTTGTTGACAGAAATGATATTTTGGAAAAATTTTTGAAATTATTTTATTTTTAATCTTTAAAGGGTTTTATGAACATTATATTTTAAAACATGCATACTCCATAAGTTATAAACTCTGACATTTTTTAATTTTTCTAATTCAAATCCAATCTTAACGTTTATTACTAAAGTTTTTTTAATATAAAAAATATCATAGCACGGTAAAGTGAAAAAAAAAATTAAAAATGTTGCAATTTGAATTTTAAAATTGCAAATTTTTTTTTAGTACAAAAGATTTACTTGTTAATGTTATATATGTTATTTGATAGTTTGAATGTATGAAAAAAAACATTCAATAGGAAATATTAATAAGTTTTTAAGGTATTTGTGGGACAAAAGTTCATAAATATAAGAATAAAATTGAACAAAAATCAATATATAGGAACATAATTGTCCAATTTAGGGTGCGGCGAACCACCGCACTCATTCCCCTCCAATCATAATTGCAGCTGCTTTAAGAAAATTTTAGTGTAATCGCACCATTTGTTTGGTTTCCAAATATTAATAATTTTTTAAGGTATTTGTGGGACAAAAGTTAATAAATATAAGAATAAAATTGAACAAAAATCAATTTATAGGAACATAATTGTCCAATTTAGGGTACGATGAACCACCGCACTCATTCCCCCTCCAATCGTAATTTCGGCTGCTTTGAGAAAATTTTGGTGCAATCGCACCATTAGTTTGGTTTCCAAACATTAAACAGTCCAAGAAGGTTACTAAACTCATGGTGGGATACGCGTGCGGCCTAAATAGTGTAGGCAACTCCATCTGTCCCATCGAATTTTGATCAGATCCAATTTTATAAGATCCAATTATTTTTTTTAATTGAATTTCATTTCGAGTCGAACGATATTAAAAAAAATCAAATTCAAATTTTAGATAAATTCGATCCAAATATTATATAAAAATAATTTTATTTAATTAATTATTTATAATATTTATATAATAATATATTTAAATATTTATATTTAAAAAATATTTTATATTTTAAAAAATAATATTTTATTAATTTTATATCAGATCGGATACGATTTATATAATATCAAATTCGGATCAAATTCGAATATTTAAAAAATAAAAAATATTTTCGAATCGAATTAAATTCAAAACGAATATAAATTCATCCGGATTCGATCTATTATCATCCCTTAATCTAAATCGAAAATTACATTAAGATCTAGTGTCTTCCAACTTGACCCTTTTATGGTCCACAAAAATTTAGGTTAGGGAAGACTACCCACTTTGGTTAGTCTCATCCCATCCCAAATTGAACAATTAGGTCCCGACATTATTGATTTTTAGTTTAATTTTATCCTTATATTTAATAACATTTGTCCACAACCAAACAAAACCTTAGCGAATAAAAATTTAATTCTTTATCCTTTTTGATTAGTAAGAGTTTAAAAACTATTTGGCTATTTGTTTGAAAAAAAAAAATCCAAACTTATTTGGATTTTGAAGTAAGGGTCTTTCTCTGCATGGTCCCGCCGAAGGCAGCCAACCCTCTTATGGTACTACCTTATTGATAGAGTCTTAACAGGCGATTGATAAATCATCCTTTTCTTTGCCAACAAAAATAGTTGCAAATACAAATGCCTCCAACTGAAAACTTGATGAATGACATTGAACTAGGCATGGGGAATCATGTATTTATGAAAAAGACATTCCCCCTACTGAAATCTTGATGAAAAGTTACATGCAAACCTGTTTTTCTCTTTAATATGAACAGAAAAAGCGTCAAAAAAATTGTTTTGAGACTTTCTATTGATATAGGAAACCTTCCTGTTTCACAACCAACATTATCGGAGGTAAACTACAAGTGCAGTTCTCGGCCATCGAAGTAATAGGAGAACCCTAAGAGCTGAAAGCTGGCAGCACTCTGCTCATTATCTCCTGTTAGAACTGAATTTTAATTAGGCCTCAATACATCATACAACAAAATTCACAAATTGGTGAGAGGAATTGAATTGAAGTATGATGCGAGAATAGAAATCATGCATGGAAAAATACTAATCGTGAATCCAGAAATATGCACAGGGATCAATTTAATTTATGAAGGCATTAGGGAGGTTTACTAGGTTCATCGAATGGACATCACGCAATCTCTAGAGCTCTCAAAGGACATCATCTTGATCCTCCATCTCCTCAAGGATGACATACTTCGCAGCCTGATTAGTCCCAGGTGACCCTATTGTTTCTCCTTCTTCTAGTTTACCCTTCTGCAGCTTTTGGTATCTTAAAAAAGGATAAGAAAAACAACATAAGTATTTTTGGTCAACTTAGCCACAGTATAAACCAGAAAATCAGTAGTGGGATGTGTTTAGATGCAAAAACAACAATGGCAGTGAGGTGAATTGTCATAATAAGAGAAAATGACCAATAAAGACAATGGATTAAAATTTGTATTTCATTTTGAATTATTTAACGATTATAAAATTACCTAATAATTAAAAAATAATTCAATAATAATAAATTTTATTTATTTTATTAGTTTATTACATAATTGGTAAGTCATATCAGATTTGGAGCAGAAGAAGATAAAAAGTATCATCATTCTAGTAAGCTCTAGGAATCTCACGGACAAGAAAGCCTCATCCTTTCCAGGGTTTGAAGCACGAAATAGCTGTAACTCTCATTAAATTGTAACAAAGTGACTATATATAGCATACTAGGTTCCCATGACTGTTCCCTAACAACAATAAATCATCACTGCCAAAATTAAACTAAATGAATAAAATAAAGAACTCAAAAAGTATTTGTGAAGTTTGAGATTGATAGTAATTATAATGGGCTAACAAATGCTGAAGTTTGTACAAGTTAAAGTCAGAAGTCAGAGAAAAAGTAAGAGCAACTTAATCAATTAAGTACACCAATTTAATCAATTAACTTAGTAGATCAAACTAAAAGCACCAAATTCTGGCATTAGTTAAAAGAATAAAAAGATGCAAAAAATACTAAAAAAGAAAAATAAAATTCTCCCTCCAAATGACATCGAACATTCCTAAACCTTGGGCAAAGTTCGATACTTAGGGGTGGGAGTTTAAAAGTTCTAATCTTTTGTCCAAAGACATCTAATTCCATGCCTTAATAAAGAAATGACTCAATTATGACTAAGACCTCCAAAACTTTGATATTTCAGATATGAACAAAGGCTGAATTTCAGTATCTACCAAAACAATAAGATCTCAAAACAATGAACTGGAAACATATAAATATTCTTTTAGTTCAACAACACCAGACGAAGCATAGGATTTTGTAACACATGATCCAAGAAACATGGACCTCCTATACATTCAATTTCTCAGTCACAAGTGCTAAACTACAAATGAAATGTTAAAATTTCAGAAAGTTTTGAAGGAAAATCAATAACTACAAATTTTTGCACAGAAGGGGGTGCCTCAAGCAAGAAGAAATTGCAAATTCATAACTTAGTTTTATTGACCACTTACTTGTACCAGTTGAATAAACTGACTCCAACCATGATTGTGAATAGTCCAGCTCCTTTTAACCAGGTAAACTCATCATGGAAGTAAAATACTGCAACCTGAACAAGTATTAGAAAAAGAATCAGAAAACAACTGCAAAAATATATGGCAGGAAAATAAACAACAGAGCACAATCAGCATTAACGGGCAAATCAAAAAGAAAATAACATCATGCATGTTAAGACTGATACCAGATGAACTCAAGAAGATTTTGTTGGATAAAATACAGGGGGTCAGAATTCGACTCCCAGTCCAAATACAAGCCAAAAAATAGTGAAAATCAAGTGAGACCTGGAACCAAGCCATGAAACAACCCATCCCAACCCAATCCAATCCAAAACCTGGTAGTTAAAATGAAATCTGATAAACAGTTCCTACTCCTATGTGACCAGCCACTCACTCTCAGACTCAATCTCTTTTACTATTCTTAACCTAAAATAAGCAACTCATTCATAGCCCTCCATTTTGGTAATGTACTGCAGGATACAGTTGGAAGAACCATGGATTATCACCAAGAATATCTTCACTTAAGCTCATTGCATAATGAAATCCTCACTTAACCTCATTGCATAATGAAATCCTACTTAACCTCATTGCATAAAAATATGTTTATCTCATTGCATAAAAATGAAACTGTTGACAAAAAAAAAAAATCCTCACTCTTACTCTAGACTGTAGTGATAAGAATATCCTCAGTTAAGCTCATTGCATAAAAATGTGAATACTCAGACATCAAAATACATTAACATTGAGGTTTGAGGGCTTGAGAAAAAGATTATATGAAACAGTTACTCCATGTCAACAAAAATACTCATTAAAATTATGACACATAATCCTTCTTTTTAACAAGCCCACCTTTTTTTACACATCAAATACGGAGTCATTTAATGGCGAAATAGAGTTTCATGAAGGTCAACTAATAATATATAAAACTTAAACGGGCCCTAGAAGTATATTTCAAAAAGAAGACATGTATCACAAATTTAATGGAGTGATATTTGCTGACATGAAGTAATAATTTCAAATTATTCTTTCTCGGAGGATTGTTCAAAAAATTAAGATGGCAAAAGCTAACCAATGGAAACAACTTACCTGAAGCCCAATCCTGTCCAACTTGAATAGGCTAAAAAGCCTAACACTGAAACCTTATGCAATTCAAACCCCAATAAACTCAAAACTCTAAGCGTGCGTCTGGATGGAAAATTTTAAAATTTTGAAGACATTTGAAATGAAAACATTTTAAAATGCATCATTTCAAAATGCTAGCATTTGTAATTGTTTTTGTTTGGATAAATGGAGATTTAGGTAATTGGAATTTCATGAGATAAAAAAAGAATTTAATTATAAAAGAAGAATAATGATATTAAAAATAGACATACATATAACTATAAAAATATGCAAGACAGGTATCATTATATTTGTAAAATTGTATAGATATTATTAATAATATAAAAATAATACATATATATATATATATTAGACTTAAATAAAATGATATTTTATTTTTTGAATTTTGTATTTTGTAGTAACCATGAGAGCTAAAGTGAGGGTTTGAAGGAATTTAGAAAAACCACTTAAATTTCAAGAGGTAGTTTGAGATGGTCAAATCCCTTCTTAAAATTCCTCCTAAATTTTCTCCCTTGTTTCTTCCAAACAAGTAAATTCATTTTAGACTTCTAAAAACCTTGATTGAAATGAAATCCCTCCCCCAAATATCCCATCAAACACACCCTAGAAACCCAAACTTAATCCATATCCAAAGTTAGGATGTAAAAAATCAAGCCAAAATAAGCCTAGCTTCTCTTGTTAGGCTCAACTTGACTAAATATTACCAAGCTTGAGCACAAACCAAGCTCAGCAGAAGCTAAAGAATTAGTGATTGAATTCAGCTTGAGGTAAGCCATTTTGGCTCAAATTGAACCATGTTCATTTTAGCCATTTTCCCTTACCTTCTAAACACATTGGTATGTGTGTTTGTACCACCAGTGGCTACCAAGATGTATCTTAAAATGATGACTAGCATGAACTAATTCATGAGTACCAAATTAAAAAAAAAAAAAACACACACACACACACACCCCAACAACAACAACAATGACAAGATGAGATAACTTTTTTCAAAAACTTGCAAATAAGAGGGGCAGTATTCAACTTTGGACCCTACTGAGTAACAAACAAAAAGTCAGAATGCCACATGTGAGCCCTAAGTAAAAAGCCAAGATTTTGCAAAACCATTACAATAAAAAATATATATACCATTATGGTGACAGCCTCCTTCACAACTCCAGCTATTGTCACTGTAACTGCACTAGTTACAGAAACAAGGATGTACTCTGTTAAAACCTGCAAGAAAAAGAAAAGCTTGGCTTCTTCAAACCACAAGACTTGTGTTACAGCTGCATGAATAGAAATGTAATGCCTGTAATTTGATCCACAAGGGCTTCCAAAATTCTTTAAAAAGAAACAACCTCACCAACCTTCCAAAGGGTGAGAAAAGACGAAAATATTTAAAAAAGGGAAACTACAAGAACAAAAAGAAAAAGATGCTTCAGCAAAGGTTCCTACCATAAAGAATGCCAGTGTTCCACCAAAAAGCATCAACAAGCAACTTCGAGCAATATGCCATGAATTATTAAAATAATTGTTCACTCCAAATTCATGCCATGGATCCAAGAAGAGAGAAAGAAGAGCTGTCACAACTGCCATCATTGGAGTCACATAGCCCATGAAGATGAGAGGATTTTTCAAACCTGGAGACAATTAAATAGAAATTAGCTTAGAGTAATGATGTAAAAAAACAGAATGAAGAAGAAAAGTAAGACCAGCCCAATTTAACAAAAACAGGTAACTTTTAGCAAAAACACTTGCAACATGTCACTATATATATAAATCAAAAACCTCCTTTTTCATTGATATTAGAAAAGTTTTTTAGAATATCATTATCAAAATGAGAATTAGAACTTCAAGGTTGCCAACTCAGCATCCACTCCAGTAACTATCCCCCTGATATATCTACTCAAGACAAAAAGATCTCTAAAGATAAGTTCCTAACAAAATTAAACCAAACTATTATGCACCATATTATATGCACAAATCAATGGATGTAACCATATCTCACATATATGAGTTATCTGGAGAAAAGAATATAACCTAGGACATAGTGCAGCATGCCTGGGGAACCAAATATTGCAGTAGACAAATTCCTCTCCATATTACTGCTAATAAAAAATTTTTCATGTTTAAGCAAACTGAAAGGTATGTTATTCCTTCTTACACACACAAACTCAGTCATTACTCCAGCAAAAATCAATAGAGTACTAGTCTTATGGCAGTAACAGTGAGAAATGTTGTCTAAATCAACAACGGTGATGATAACATCATGCAAACATACTAATCCGAAAACATAGAAAAAAGTATGTAAATAATGTGGCAACAACAAACTAACAAAAAGGGAAAAATGAATAAACTTATAAAAGGGAGAGAGCAAGACCACCTACCATAGGCTTCTTTCTTTAGACAGTAGCCAATTCCAGACATGAGTACCGTTGAAAAGTCAATTTGGCACCAAATAAAATAATCAAAGTAATTAGTAAAGAGAAAAGAAAAACAATTTGAAAACCAGATCCATAATTGAACTCTAATATATCATGTAAATAACAAATGAATCAAAGCCATACCTGCAAAAGTATTTGAGTCATGCACCAGCGAAATCCAGACATAACAGCAGCAAGCATGACAAAAACAAAACCCCAAAACTCAAATTCTGTCTCCTTTGCAACTGGAAAAAAAAAAAAGAAGGATCACGTTTCATAGGTGTTATCAATATTTGACATTGTAAAAGCTTGAGAAAGGGGGAGAGAGAGAGAGAAACAACGGAAGCCAGCTGTCACAACCAGCTCAAATATTAGACAAACTCATTGTAGAATGCTATTTTAGTCTTTCAGATTGATTTGGATGATTTAGGCTGAATTTAGCATTGGAAAGAGATTGCAACAGTGCGGTTAAAAGTAAGATTGTTAAAATTGATAATTCTTAGAAAAATGACAACAATGTGATGAGGTATTAAATTACCATTGAGGATATAATGAAAAAGAGATTAATAAATTATATATTCATATCATATTTTATTTTACGTTTGAAATTATCAAAAATAATAATTCAATTATATCAAATAAATAATTTTCTTGAAATATACAATCTATTTATTAAATAATATAAAAATACATCAAATTTTCAACATAAAAGTAAAACTAAATAAGTACCAAAAAGATTTTTAAAAATGGGTTTTAAAGCTGATTTCAACATTTATATCATTAATTCGCATTAATTAGATTATCAAGATGTTCTTTGTTCTAAAAGTTTTCTATTACTTTGTAGCTAAATTATGAAATAATTAATTTTTTATTTTTGTAATTTCGTTTATTATAATATAATAATGAATTTTATTTAATTGATTATACGAAAAATTATACATTGCTTTGATTTTGTTGGGAGTAGGAGCACAAGTTTGTGGCAATTTTCACCAGCTATTATACCGATATAGACTTCGTGAAGCAACTCTAACCCAGCTGGGAAGCTTAAGAAAATGTAGTTGTGAATCCAAGGTTTCCTACTATTTTCCTCGGTACCACTCCCTCCATCTCAAATTGAATGTCCATCTTTCTTATATGGGTGTCTCCAAAAAATGTCCATTTTCCCAAAATGGACAGCATTTTCTTCATGTTGCCTTCCACTGAAATACAAACTTTGGATGGGCCTAAGCTTTTATAACACTTAATGGTAAAAGTTATAAAGGAACAAAATACTTCATTCCTAAAACTTTGTTCTGTTTGGAAAGTGGGCATTCAATATGATACAGAGGAAGTAGTTTATATTTCACTTCTGTTACAGATTACATATCATTCCTATATGAATTGCTTTAAGCCTTAGAACAGACGCTGATCACTCCCTTCCAAACTCACACCAGAATAAATAGATAATCCTAAAATTTCAACCCTAACCCTATACTGCTTTCCACAGGTCCATTCAGAGTACATAGTTAGCACCTAGATAGCTTTCTAAATCTTTGGTTTCTCTAGTCATAATTTTTCATCCTTTTGAATCAATTAAATATAAAAATTAATCTCAAAAACCCTGCAAGTGATTGCTGGTTTTCAAAAATTGCCAACCTATTGTGATTTTAACGCAAACCTCCCTTGAAATCTTACATCATCTGTACGTCCACAATAACTCTAGTAAGTTTTATATTCATGTGAATCATGAAATAACAAGAATCAAGGGATAAAAAATAACATGTCCTCAATGTATTATTGTATAATGTTAGGATTTAGTTTCTAGAATGCGTGAAAACTTTAAGAAAGGGAAAAGAGGGGAAACTCCCTAAAGAGCAAAGCCAAAAGATTGAATATCTCTGTCCATAAGTGGAGCATTGCAGCAAGTAAAATCATTGACTACAACTGAGTCCCACATCAAATTGCCTTCAAGATGACTAGGCCATGCACATATTACTCACAATTAGTGTAGCAGTGCAGATATCTACTCACTAATGCGTTTCTCCCACTTCATCCTTCATAATTTGAGTAACCAAAAAAGCATATACAACCATAAAGGTGCTATATACATATATATATAGATATATATATAGAGAGAGAGAGAGAAGGATCCACTTACACTAGTGTAAGTTTTGCACTCTTTTTTTAACCTTGGATCAAAATGGCTAAGATTAAAAATATTATTCTAATCCAAATTACTCGTGGATTTAATTTTGATCCAAGGCTCAAAAAGTGTATAAAACTTACATTGGTGTAAATGCATCCCTACTCATATATGTAAAGAAATTGAACTGCTTTTAACAAACATATGGAATTGACAAGAATCTTATACCTGTTAATAGAATCCCCACAGAGATTACCAAGATAATACCCAAAAGTTTAAGGCTTGGAGACTCCAACCTTCCAAAAAAAATTCAAAATTAATATAAATGTACAAAAGAGAGCTTAAACTACCAAATTACTAATAAACGTAAATTTTTTGTGCATTGAATAAGCACAAAAACTTGAAATTTCAAAGTTATACATGGTTTCAAGCTACTAATAAGCACAAACTACCAAATTACTCAGTCCCTACATCTACAAAACAGAGCTTAGTCCCTACATTAGAAGACCATCTAAACAGTTCAGCCTCATCCAAACATGGACGTGAAAATCAAATTAAAAACTCACCTGAATGCAAAAGCAAATAGGAGAAGAAATATAGGAGCTGCAGATTTACACTGCAACGTATATAGAAAGAATATTTTAGTTAGCAACACAACTAAAGAAAGAAATATCAAAAGGCATATTCAGAGTAGGTGCAATTTGATCTGGATTGGACTAAATACTCATTACAATATAGAGTATAGAAAGGTTAACAAACCATCGTGGCAAAAGTAACAGATATGAAAACCAGGGATGCGTTGCTCAGGTTAACATCCAGTGCCGTTGAAAGAGCCGTAGGTACAACTGTGAAAGGCAAAGTCCATCTGTACATTAGTTGATAGGAAAGTTAAAACACACAGAGGTGGAAAAGCCATAGCAGATGAAATTTTAAAACTCTAAATCTAAGTGCAACCATGCATTTAGGTCTAAGCTAATGATATAATTTTAAATGTATAATTACAGATTTATGTCCATGAACCAGATGCAAGTGCCAAATTCACATTATAAAGAAGCAGAAATTAACATATGTTTGATGAATTTACCTCTGTAGAAGTAATCCCTCCATGACATTGGAATGGAAGGCTGAAATCTACAAGACCAATACCACGTGATCGCCCTTGATAAGACAGCTTGCATTGTGAAGTGGACAGTATTCATCAACAAGGGAGCTGGAAACTTCCCCAAATCATCTCCCAACAAGGTTTTGTTGTACCTACTCAATGCAAAATATAAGAGGAAAAATGAACAAGCTTCAAAACAATATGGTTTTAAATTTAGCTAGCATGCTACTGGATTAATTTAGGATGGACTTACAATGTCAAAAATGTGCTGAAAGTGTACCACACAAGTATAAAGAACAATGTCTTCAACACGTCCACAGTAGAAACACAGCTGTTAGTATTCAGTGTTGATGCTTTTGGATTGCCGTTAGAATTGGCTCCATCAACACCAATATTTGATAATCTTGTGTCCCCAACAGACTCATTTTCAATATCAAAAGGTGCATACTTCCCATTTCTATCTTCCCCATGTATATCTTCCAAGGAACTACCACCATTCAAGTGCATAGTTTGCTCTCGAAACTTACTGTATCTAACCCCTTCTACAAATCCGTTTCCTAACTCACTCTGATTAAGCATAGGCAACTCAAAATCAGATTCTTCTACACTTGAATCAAGATCCTCTGAACGGCATTCCAAATGGATTCTTCCATCTTCATCAACCCAGCGAGAAAAGGAGGGTTCCCTTCGAAGACCTGAACCTTGATTTCTACTCTGAGTATCAGTCCCCGTGCATCTAACTGTTTCTTTATTAAAATTACTCTCTACCATCTCCTTTCTTATTCTAAGTTAAAGTCATCTATGCACACCATAGGAACACAACTCACCAATGCCCAATTAGTACCTTCATTTTCCATCAATTTATGCAACTATTTCATTTTGCTTAGGTTCACAATGCAAAATCGATTATGTGAATAATATTTTGGGCATCAAATGAACTAAGACCCCAGATGTCACCTGTTGCAATCAAATATAACAGCAAAAGTAATAAAATTGAGTATAAACAGCTTCATTTAAAAGCAAAAGGAGAAGAAAATACAAAACAATGAAAGCTTTCAATTTCCATTGCCAACAGCCAGGCATTATTTCTCAAAAAGAAAAATTTATATGCATTCAGTTTTCCCAGTGATAAAACACAGCATCAATTCAACTCATTAGAACAAATAAACCCCCACCACCTCCATCCCCCCCCCCCCCAAAATAAGAGCCTCCCCATCTCTTAGATTGCGCAATATAAATGATAGAAAAAAAAAAAAAAAAAGCTCGAAGAAACAAAATAGAAATTGGAATCAGAAAACCATATAATATAAAATAAAATAATTATAAAAAAAGAAAGCAAGCTGAATCAAACCAATAAGAAGCTCAATGAAATTCAAAAAATGACATTAAAGAAAATAGAAGTTATATCAAAAAAAAAAAAAAAAGGAAAAGACATTGAACTGACCTGGTCAAGTTTTGATGAGATCCAAAGTGGTGAAGAAGAACGAGAAAGAAAGCTTTAAAATATATATATATAAGGAAAACTGAGAGATCTGATGTAGAAATGGATTAATGAATTGGTGAATGTTGGTGACAAGTCACCGTTGGAGGCCTTCGTTCGAGCGTTGTCTGCTATCAGTTGTTGGGTTTTTTTTTTTTTTTTTTTGGTTTGTCTAAAATCAAATCGTAGATTCAAATATACATACATTGCCTGTCCTTTCTTTTCTTTAATCCTTGGTTCTGAATTTTATTATCTTTTTTTTTTTTTTCAAAAAGTAGGTAACCTTATCAATTTTCATTAATTCTAATACAAATAAAATATTATTCGGTGTTTTTTATTATGTTAAATTATATATATTTTAAAAGATAATATATTCTAAATTATTCTTTTTCTTTTTTTGCCAGCATTTATTTTTTTTATCAAAAGATTCAAAATTCTCACTTCATTTTAAAAATAGAAAATAAATATCATAAAATATATATAGACGCATACATGACATACATAAAAAGATAAAAATTATGTTATATGTATAAAAAATTAAAATTATATTAATTTAATAAATTTTTTAAAAAATTTAAAGTCGAAATAAAGATAATAACCATTGCATTCATTAATATATAATAATATGAATTTTCAAAAATCAACTTAAATTGAAATTAAACATTTTTTAAATTAATATATTTTGAATAAAATTTTATTGGTTCAATTTGATTTATCAAATATTAAAAATTAATTTTTAAATTTTGTTATTATTTTTATATTACTTTAAATTTTGATTCAAATATTTTTATATTTTTCATTACAAATTGAACCGAACTAAATTAAAATATAAAATATCGAAATTTAAATTAAACTAAACAAACAAATTAATCCAAACATTATAATTTCAAATTAATATTCAATTTTCTCTATTTTTTTCTATTAACCAAAAGTCTAATGCTTATTTTGATTGCAGTAAAAAAAAAAAAAAAAACTGTCAGCTATTTCTTTATTACAATAAATCATTAAATTAACTTTCATTTAGTATTAGATTATAAATAAAAAGGAAATTAAGAGATTTTTTATTTTTTATTTCGGTTTCAAGAATCAAAAGTTTGGTGTATTAAATTTGGGTGTTTTATTAATAAATTAGTGCTTTATTATCTCTACTCCTTACTCCCTTTTGGTAGGTTGGAAACTTTATTTGATTGAGATTAATCAACAGCTACCCTCTTAATCCAAAGTCTCAACCTCTCTAAATAATGAATTTAATGAATTTTGTAGCTTTAGTTCCTTTATCCTAATTTTAATGAATTTGATATTTATATTGTTATTAAAAATTAATTTAAAGACAATCGATAGCAATGTTAAACTTTTACAATTAAATTCAACCACTTTACTTTTTCTGTTGACAATGTAATAAATAATAATGGTTACTTGAAAGCTTTTAATCATTTGGCATACATTTGTATAAAAAAATATTTTATTTTTCTAAAAAAAATAAAAATATTAATTTTTTTATATAAAATAAGCTATAACCTAAAAAAAAGTCACAAATATTAAAATTTGAATCTAAATATATTTAAGGTAATTTTTTAAAAATGATTATATAAATCCGTTGAGTTTTATAATTCATATTTGATTTTTATGCAATTAAAAAGGTTTTCTTTCTCAACAATGAAATCCCACAACCCACATCATACAGCTGCTACATCCAAAATAGGAACAAAATTATTAAGTAAAGAAAAGGAAAATCCTGAATACAAAGTGAAAATTATTGCATAATAACTAAAAAAAATAACATAGATAAATATACAACAAAAAGATAAGATTCCTATAACCTAACTTCTATACATCATATCATATCGTATGGCTACAAAATTTAAAGAAGCTTAGGTCTGACTATCAGCATGCATCTTATGTACGCACTTCAACAATGGGTTCAGGCAAAATTCAATGAATTGCAAGCCCAGGTAGCTGCCTGCACCTTTTTCTCTAAGTTAAAGGATCAACCAACATTACATTCTTTCAGTTGGAGAAAGGTTTGTTTTCCACCAACAATTTTGGTTATTAGGTGGCTTGCTGTCACTTATTCTTCCACTTGTTGTCCTAGGGTTCGACTGGATCACTTGTGCATCCGATGTGTTGGGAACTTCTGTCAGGAACTGTTCCCAGAAGACGTCATTTTCCTTGCCCGGGATGGAATGATCAGTAGCCGCTGCTGCTTCTACCTGTTTTTGTAAGACCTGACCAGTCTCTGGAGGACTAGCATGCTCTGAGTTTACCCCACTTTCAGAAGATTTTGGCTTAAGATTGACTATGTGGTGAAAAGATGGTATCGGAGGACTGTCAGCCAGCTCAGGAGATGAATTAATATCTGTTGAATAAGGAGTGCATGGATGTGATGTAAGTGAGCAAAGTTCACCATCCATGTCATAGTCTCCAGAAGATGTCTGCATTTCAGTAACAACAATTGGAGAAGGCTCTGCCTGTGATGATATACCAAAATCATACACTCGTTCACCCATGGTTTCTCCAATTCCGTAAAGCAATGTTTCCCAACATTTTATAGATGATTCCAACTCCTCAATCTGTTCCAAATTCAAAATAGGAGCAGAAGATGCTCCCAGTTTTGCATTCTGAGAAGTCAAACTGTGATGTTCTTCTCTGTTAAATTCATCATTGGATTCATTAGAATTCAACAACTTTCTCTTTTTGTTATGAAATTCTGACTCTTGCTTGAGCATAGACAGAAGGTGGGGTTTGTGCATCAGTTGAGCCAAGAAGACCATCACCTGTCTCTGTCGGTCTTCCATATTCTGAAAACGCTCAGACAACAACTTTATTTGAAACTGAAATTCCTGATTCTCTTTCTGATGCCTCGGTAGCTGCAATTGAAGCCGGCACTTTTCGTTACGCAACCTCTTAATTTCTTCTTCAAATTCATTTTTTTCTATCTCAGTTAAAGGTACACTAGACTTCCCTTGGTGATTCAAGGAATGGCTATGAACTGGCTTGCGTCTATGAATATTCTTTAGAAGATGTTTCTGTCCTCTGATAAATTCCTCGTTTGCAAATTCCCATTGATCAGGATCAATCTTCCTGAATCCCTAATCAAACAAAAGGAGCAAGTTTCAACCAAAGCATAAAAAGTCACCATAATACAGGGGAAGCATCAACTTGGAAAACACTACAAAACAGGGTGGTCAGGGGCTGTCAGTGCAATCTTGTTATTCCATCATTTCGATACCATAAAAGTCATATGATGAATTGAAAACAGGCAAAAACTAAAGCATTCATTTTCAGATCAAATAAAAACAGAGGTTTCAACAATGCTTGCAACAAGATATAGTAATATGAAGAAAAACATGATCATGTACTTTAAAATTGTATAGGGAAACACATTTAAAAATGAGAAATGGATTGATGAGCTTCCATATGAATAAGAAATTTGAGCAGATGAAAGAGAATTAATTGGAGATTAAAAAAGGGAAAAAGAAGCCATTTCCCAAGTGAAGAAACATTACATAAGTATTCAGCTGCCGGACAAAACTTGAGAAGTTATCGTGCTTGAAATATCTTGGCAGCAAATCTCTCGAAAAATCTGGTGGATTCAATACAATGAAACTATAACCAGTTTCACTCCAACAAACCAAGGAGTTGGTCATTGGATCATCCACCATCTCATATGTCTTAGTAAGAAAAGGCGGCGGCGCGTTACAGCTTCCCTGTGATCCATCCATTTCATTTAATCTCTTCAAAACCTTGAATCTGTAATCTCAAGAATTTTGTAGCCAAAGCACCATGTCCAAAAACTGAACTTTTTCAGATTTTGATATCCAAAACAGGATCACCCCAAGTGAAAGCTACTTTTAGAAGAACACTGTAGCATAAACCCCAAAACCCCAGAATTTGAAACTGAGAAAGGAAGAAAAGTGAGGGTTCCTTTATCCAGTGTGAAATTGTCAACAGGGTTGGATTATCAGAAACTAGTGGAAAAAAAAAAAGAAAAAAATGAAAATTTTATGGGAGAATAAGCTAGATAAAATATAGAAAAAGAATAAGAAATTGAAGAAACAATCACGTGTACGGAAGTTTCTAACAATTCAAAAGCAAAACTTGGTGATCAAGCAAGAGAAGGAATGGTTTTTCAACCGTACCGATAGAGGAGAGAGTTGAAGGAAAGAAACGTCAAGAAATAGACTTTTTGACTTGGGAACAACCATTTGAGAGAGGGAAGCTACAAGCCTTTATAATGCTCAAAGCGTAAGCTTTTTCGTAGGACCTTTTACTGGGTCGCCCCATCCCTCGTGGGTTTATGTTTTTGGTCGTTTTGAAAATTCTCAAGGGCAGAGCAGACAGGGCAAGGGAAAGATTTCTTTTTGTCATTTTGTTGAATGGTTAAGTTGAATAAGAATAGAAAAGAAGACTTCTTTGACTGCAGCCATTGTTGCCCCCGTGGAGCTCTGACTTTGACCATTGAGAAAAGAATAAATCTAATGTTTCCTAAACCTCCACGTTTACAAAGTTAGAGCTCTAGAATTAACAACATGCAATGTTTCTAATGCTGCTTTTTTCATTTATAAACCAACGGCCTCCCAATTCCTTTGACACACAAATAAGGATCAAGTCTAACCTTTCTTATCATTTTAAAAGGTTAACACTTGAATCTTCTATGGTATTAAAAGGTTCAAAGATAACTTTACTTATTTGCTCTTGATTTATGTCCGTATAGCATTGAATTCTAAAAGTACTTTTGATTAAAAGTTCATTTTCCAATTCTAGTTTAACATTGTGGTTAAGAAATTAAATTTTATAAATCAAACACAAAAAAAATTTTAAAAATATGTTTGCGATTGAAATATACTTATTTTTTGTCTTATAATTTTAAATTTTTATTATTTTTTATATTTTATATATTTTAATACACTAATAATTTGTTTTTATTGTAATATTAAATATTTAAATCATATTTGATATATAAAATTATTGATAAGATAAAATTATTATTATCTTATATTATATTTTATTTGTATTTAAAGAGATAGATAAAAATTATAAAAAAATTAATATTTTTTTATAAAATTATTCAATTCTTTTCACGTGCAAATAATTATTTTAAATTGATAAATTTAAATTTATATATATAATTATATTTTTAAAAATTATATCAATAATTTAAATTATATAAATTTTAAAAAAATAATTTTAATAAATAAATAAATTATTTTATTATGATTCTAATATATATTAAATATAAAATACTTGATATTATTTAATATAATTATGTTTATAATATAATTTTTTATTTTATTATATTATAATTTTATGTACGACCTTAAAATTTTTAATTCACATTTTTCTTCTCATACTTCTAAATACTCTTTTTTTTTTTTTCCGAACTGAAGCTTTTAAAATCTCAAACAGCAATACTAATGTACACCTTAATTGATTAAAAAAAACCAAAAAGAAGTAGTGCCCTAATAAATTCAGGAATCGAAAAGTCTCATCTCTTTATTGTTAGATATTTTAATCTGCAGGGTCCCACCACAAAATATCTCTTACGCATTTTAGATTACATGAACACAAGCCAAGCTTAAAAATCCACAAAATTTGCAGAAAGTGCATAGCCATCCATCTTCACTAACCTTTGCAGTTGATATCTTCGGAAAACTGAAAATGGAAAGCGAAGCTGCAAGACGCAGAATCAGCACCATTTCAGGCCATTTTTCACCCAATGACGATATTTTTTCTGCCACTCACCTTCTCCCCATGGTAAAAGTTTCCATTTTCTCTATTTTTTTCCTGAGAAATAGCAATAAACTCATCATCAGTTTTTAAGCTACTATCATATCTGAGCATGTACCAAAGCGTAAAAGCTTATTTGGCTGAGCTGTTTACTGCTTTGGCTACTCTGAAACTGAATAAAACTTCAGTTTCAATTCTTCAATTACATGGTACTTAGCTGAAACTTGGCTGTCAGGCAATTTTTTCTATCTGCCTTATAGGACAAAAGCACGAAATGTTGACCAGGGAACAAAAATTTAAGCCAAAACTCAACGTGATTGCAATATATATATATATGAACCTTTTATGCCTGTTCTATCATGGGTTTATCTCATAATATGGAAATAATTGTGCCATTTGAGTGTGTAAGTGATCATTTAAAAGTTTAAACCTTTGAAAATTAGGCTTATCAAAATTAATCATCAGTTGTAATTTATAAAGAAGCAACTCAGATCAATTTAGAGCTGTCTTGATTCATATTTACTTGATATTAGAAATGGTACTTCTAAAATGCCTTGGGAATGTTTGTGACAGAAATCGTAATTGTTTGTGAGCTATACTGATTCTCAGATGTGAACTGATGAAGTCTCTATTTGGTGCCTGCTATCGCACCCATATATATAGCTTGTTCATAGTGCATAGAATTCAAAATGGTGAACAAACAAGTACTTACCACGAAAAAACAGAAAGGATTAATGCAAATTGCCCGAAAAACAAAATTGCCAAAGGTTTAGTCTGACATAAGTGACCGTGAGGTATCTAAACTAGGAATCCATCCATCAATCAGTTGGATGGACAATCTACTATGTTCACTAAGTCTAACTGGTGAGGCCAGAGCCCGAATCTATCTGATAGTGAGCAAATTTTGTGTTCCTGTTGAATGGTGATACAAAATCGATTCATTTTTCCGGTACTTTGCATAACAGAACTGCAGTGGGAGTTTGAACTCTGTGATCCGGAGGTGTGATAATAGAATGTATTTTGCACGTCAGGGGTCTGCATATCAAGCTTGTTTCATGAGACAGGTTTCAAAAGATGAGGTGCTTACCTTTCCACTCAAACAGTATTACTTGTTCCTATCATTTACTAGCAACCGATTCAACCATTCTATGTTGCTCTGCCCCAGAGAACTGCTCCTCATTGTGCTGCATGCCCCAAGTCCTCTTGTACTCCAATAGAGAGTTCTAATGATTCTGAAGCACCATTATTTTCTAGACGTACAATGGTGGAGCCAAACTTATCAAATTTGGCAGCAATCCAGCCTCTGGGACTAGATTGGGGATTATCCCTGCCTGACCCTCCTAAGTTTGCCAGACCAAATAAAAGCACAAGTGAAGAGATGCCATTACAATCTAAGAAGAAAACATGCTCCAGATCTAATGGTAAGTAATTTTGGTTTCTGAACAAAATATTCTTGATATATTTGTTTTATATATTTTAGGCTTAGCTCATTTAAAAACAAAAGTAGTGTTGTTGATATGAGTATATAATTCTTACCTGTTAAGCTGTACAGAAAGCTGAAAATTCATTTTCGGTTCAATCTGTAATTTTCAGAAAATAAGTAAATCATCTAGGCTAGATGGATTTCACAACCTGGTAAAATGTTTGAACGCTTACCAAAGAATGCAAGACTTGATCTGAAAAGAAGTGTATGTAGGTGCAAATTGCAGTACCATATTTTACTTTTAATGATTTATAAATTGTTATGAAGAGAAGTCAACAATCACCTTTTCTTACATGGAAAGAGAAACAGCATCATATCCCCACCCCCAACCCCAAGAAAAAAAGAAACAACTAACATTTAAGGGTGACAAAGAATCTGGTTTCATCTTTCTTATAAATTAGATTCTGATTCAGGTTAATTGTTTTTCTTTATATATATATATATATATATATATATATATTTCATCCAGGCATTGAATGGCTCCCTAGGATGGATATTGCAGAATCTGGACCCAATTATGTTATGGTGGTAGAAATTCCTGGGGTCAGCATCAGTGACATTAGAGTGGAGGTTGATGACCGAAAGTAAGGCTAATATGTTATTATTTATGTTCTTACACTGTTCCAAGATCTTTCATTTTATATTTGTCCTAGTCAAAAACCAAAAAATAAAAGAGAAGATCTTGTTGGTGTGGAATTATCCATCTTTGTAATGATCTTGACAAAATTTTCTCTTATCCTTTCTAGAGGATACTTTATTTATCTAAGATTCAGATATACATGTGAAGGACGATTTATTCATTTTATTTTTCACTTTGGGATGTTGGCTTGTCATCTCTTGTCACTAATAAACATAAATTAATCTTCACACTTAATCTGATAAGAATATGTTTTCCTGACAGTTTAACAGTGACTGGTCAGCGCACTAGTCAGTGTTTGAAACTAGCAGCTGGTTGCTCTAATGACTCAATCTCTTCATATCACAAGAGAGAGATATCACAAGGGCCGTACCAGGTTGTGTGGCCACTTCCTACTAATGCAAACAGGGACAGCATCTCAGCTGAGTTTGTGTAAGTCATAAGCATCATGTATCTTGAATTCTTCTTGAGTTTATGCTTCTGCTTTTGGATATATCATCTAATATATATTTCATAAAACTAATAGTAAGATAACTTCCTATGAGTTATGGCATCTTGGCATCTGCTAAAATTCATCTAAAAACATTCTGGCTTTCACTTTCCAAAATTAACCCTTGGATGTGTATGTAAGTGGAAAGTTAAAAAATATCATATAATAATCCGGAAATAAAAAAGAAAAGAAGAAAGGGAGGTTTGTGATGACTTTTAAATCTTTTATACCAGGTAATCTAAAATCCTTATGAATGAAGATAATCAATTTGGTTGTTGTGGTCGGACTCTATTATGGATTTCTGACCACATTATCCATTGGTCCCTCTCTAGTTTTATCCTTTTGCTTCTCTACACTTGGAATTAAATAATTAAATAGAGTATGTTCTTAGTTTGACCAAAATTTTGGCTATTAGCAACTGAAAATGAAAATAAATGGATTAATAGCAATCAAGGGTATAGAACTAGCAGCATGAAGTACACAGAACTAGAAATTTGATCAAGGTACTTGATGTCTCCAATCAAAAAGAAAAAAAAAATAATAATAATCAAACCCTTCCAAACATTAAGAAAATTTGCATTTTATTTTCTTGGCAGATGACTTAATATGCTTGTTTTCTCCATTTTGACAATGTAGTTTTACATTTGAGTAATCTGTAAATGAACAGCTAGAATGTACTGATTAAAGAAGTGTGTTCTAAATATGGATGTAAAGACAACAAAAACCAGTTGGTTTAGATAACTTTCATCTATGAGGGGTTCAAGGTTCAGTCAATGAAATCTTTCAGTTGTCATATTATGTTTCGAAACCCCACGTTGTTGTAGTTGGATATAAGGGTTCTAATAAGCATAAACTCGAGAATGTTAAACTTTGGAATTGTTTCGTTGAATCAGATGCAATTTTTTTAATCTCCTGGTTTAGCGGAATATGCCTCTTTGTTGTAATAAATATGTACTTCAATGCTTTAACGAACCTTTGAAGAGGTTGATGAACTTTTATATTCATATCCAAGCATTTAAAAACTTACAAATACCAGAAGATACTCATGCGGGCGGTTCTATTGCTTCTTTTGATGCAGGGATGGATTTCTACGTGTTGTTATTCCTAAACTTTGAGATCAACTGCTGGTGGAAGCATACATGCACATATACAGGAGCGCCCTGATGAAAACTTTATACCAGCTTATGTATTATGCTGATATAAACCGAGCCAGTACTGATAAATGCCTAGCTACTCTCTGTTTCTATATGATCGATGATCTGTTGCTCTTATTGATATTAATTGTTGATGCGTCTAAGAGCATGAAGTATTTTGTTCTTTAAGGTGTATCCTCTACTGTCCTAATACGAGGATAATGATCAGTATTGATGCAGCACCAATGATCATAGAATAGTATGTAAGAATTTATGAGCTATGATCACCATTTAAATATTCCATGACTGGTATGTTGTTCAGCAGATATGCTATATCATTATTTTATGCAAAGTGTTTATGCATGATGTTAGTCTGTGTTTATATATGCTAGCAATATATTGATTGGTTAAAACTATGCTGAAAGTGACACAAATTCATTCAGTTTATAAACCTATAGAAGTATGATGAAAATGTTCTAGAAAGTTTTTGAAACGTCTAAACTGTTTATGAATGCGAATATAATCATCATCTTGTTCAAAAGTGCACTTGGGTTGAAATTTACTCTCAATTTGCTTCTCCAACCAATCTTTGCTCAAATGTTTCCAAGGAACCCCATCAGTTCCTGGGCCCTCAATTTAGAGATATCCATTAGTTTCTTCCATAACAGCCACAATAAGGCCACACTTTTCAGCCAAGCTTATCCAAGAGTTTTCAACAATCCTTTTGTTTTATCACTCATTTGTTCACCATAAATTCTCATACGATTTACAAGTCCCATAAATCTAGAAGAAAAATATTTTAAGCGTTTCATTTTCCTTCTTTTTCATGGTTACTCTCTTCCAAGATTTTGAAGGTTAACTCTTCTACTAATTTTAGGCTCGGAACTCTTCTTCTAATCATGAAAAGTAGACCTTATAATTCACAAACCGATATTTGTTTATTTCATGTTAAACATATGTAAAATACAATTGTGTCATTGTTCATGCTAAAGTGCCAAACATGAAACATATTTTTTAACTTTTACCAAATCAGTTTTTGCTAAAATTTTTAATTGTGTTACTTTCATATTTTTTTTTTGTATTATTTTTGTATTATATCATTGTGTCATATGATAATTTTATAATTTTATAGAATTATTGTAATGTTTAATTGTGCATTTTTGCTTAATTCTTAAGAAAATGATGAAAATATACTTCTAATTAGTTAAAATTCTCATATATAGGTAAATTTAGCCTTTTGAGGGAAAAGGAAGCAAAATTAGAGAATTTGAAGCAATTTGGATCAATTTGGTAGCAATCTGATCTCCTTGGCCGAACCTAAAGCTAGAAGAGGAATTGAGCTTAGTAAAAAGTCCATGGAAGCTTGTTAAAAAGAAGTAAAGTCATGTTTTAAGTGATCAAAGTGCCCAAGTATTTCTTTGAGCTAAGGGAGTTTATAATGAAAAGAGTTGAAGAAATGGCATTCAAGCTAATGGAAGGAGGCAGCTACTGAGCAGTCTTAATGAGCTGAGTTGGGAGCTGAAAATTGATGAATTATGATTAAGGAATTATTGGCTGAGTTGACATTTGAAAAGACTTTCACTGACTTGGCACACATGCGGGTTTGATGACTACTTTGATAAGCGGGAAAAAATCCAACTACCTAGCTGCTGACTTGGCACTTTGGAAGGTTTCTACTGTTCCATGAAGATTAGCTCGTCTATAAATACGCGAAGAATGGGCGGTTTCCTTTTATCATTTTTCATTTGTAGTTCTCTCTAGGCAGTCCTTTCTTCTCTACAAAGAAGTGGCTGTTTGGCAGGGATTTTCTCTCATTTTCTTGCACATTTTCTTATTATTTCAATTTTCAGCACATTTACATTCCTTTAAGCCTTCTTTACAATTTCAAGCTTGTTCTTTAGTTCAAACACTTTAATTCAACGCAATTTCAATTCAGTTTTTAAATTCTGCTCATTAATTTCCTGTTCTGAATTTCCTTTCGGTTTTCTTGTAGTTTCCTTATGAATTTCTATCTAAAAAATTCTGAGATTTTAAGCACTTAATCTTGCATCTTGGATCCTTGCGTTCACTGTAAATTTGAGAGAAAATCCATGTCAAATTGAGAGAAGTAGTAGCTAGAATTTACGGTTTCCTCTATTCTGCTTCAAGTGCGATTTGCGGCTGTTTGGCTAGATCCAGCTGCGCTTGATGCTTTTTGAAGCAATTTTCTCCTAGTTCTTAGTTTAATCTTCAATCTAGAGGTAGTTTCTTACTCGTGCTCTTTAAATTCCTTGTTTTCTTTTAGATTTTTAAAGAATTATTGTTGTTTGGTTCGGTTTGCTACTTTGCTTGCGGATTCTCTTGTTACGGTTTTACTTTCCTTGAGCTTGTGATCTTTACTTTTAGATAATTTTTGTTCATGATCTCTGACTTTACACCTAGATTACATGCATTTTACTTTCAATTAGCTCAATCCTTTAATTTCATGTAATTGCTTGTTGATGTAATGTTGTTATAAGCTAAATTCTGTTTTCTTGGTCTCGTTGCGATTTTGCAAAGTTCAGTTTCAATCAAGTTCATTGCTCTTCAGTTATAGCTGTTAATTCTAGTTTTCTTGCATGCTATTTCATTGTTGCATTTTTGTAGATTTAAGTCATTTTAACACTTGTTGAATGTTATGTTTTTCATGTTCGGTTTTATCATTGAAATTTCCTTTGTTAAATTCTGTTTTAGTTCAATGCTGTCCAATTTACATTTGTTACTTTCTTGTTAATATTGTAGGACCTCAGTTGTTGATTGTTTCTAATTTTATGCACTTTAGATATAGTTTTGTTAATAGTCGAATGCTTACTTAGTTCATGCATTAGTGTAACTTAATGGCACTTCAATTTTAATTCTATGCATTCCTTAGTCTAGGTTAGTTTTTAGATTACTTCACTTCTTATTCCAAACGAGTTAAATATAGCCGAGATGTTCACTTTTGGTATTTAGACTTAATTCAAACAACTAAATTCTCAAAGGAATCATATTTACTTATTATGTTATTACTTGATATAACTCATACATTTGTGAAAAAGTAAAATCATTGTACTTAAAATTACATGGTTGACACCGACATTAGATCTATGCTTTTTTTCCTATGATTCCTTTCGTTTAAGTAGAGAAACTTGTAATCAGAGAAAGTTTGGATGTAATTAGAGATGTGATCAAATCTAGTGAATCGATATAGTAAAAAGCTCAAACTTAAAATTTATTTTTCAAAACTTAGTTTGAATTTGATCAAATTCTAATTTTTATGCTTGATTTTACTTGAGATAAAAATTGAATTACTGAAATTCATTCAACTAGATTCATTTATCGAATAAAAAAATGAGTTTGATTTTCATACTTAATTATTTATATTCGAATTTAAACTTGAATTTTAATTCGAATTTATATATATATATATATGTGTAAAATAATATTTTTTGTTTAAAATAATAAAACATAAATTAAAACATTAAAACTCAATTAAACCTACAAATTACTTAGACTGAATATTAAGATACTTAAATTCAATTTACTTAATAAGTTAAACTGTTCGAATTTGAGCTTAGTTCGATAATGATCAAATTAAATTTAAATTTTATTCAAATTGAATTCAAATAAATTATGAATATTAATATATGATTTACACCTAACATAATATTTGCAAGGAGAAATAAGGCAACAAAGTGAAAAGAAAGAGTTAACAAGTGAAATTTTAACGAGAAGCTTACTTTTATAATTAACTGTTGGATGAATGTTCATCAATGATTAAAAAATTTTAAAATTTCTTTAATTTTACGTTAATGTAATCGAATCCTTCCTACACTAAATAAATGTAGTTTTGTTTTCGTACGAGTAACTTACAAGTTTTATTCAGACTCCCACCAGTTATCACGTCATCAATGAATTAGGAGGAAGCTTATTATTTGCAAAACTCTGCATTACATTACAAATTAACAAGAAATTGAGAAAAAAATGCGTGCACCAAATCCCATATTATTATTATTATTATTTATGAAAACAGAATCTGTGGTTAGGTTCCCACATCAATTGACTTTGAAGCCTAACGATATTGTAGTCAAGTTGCTTTCTGTTATTTTGTTTCTTTATATCTCTACCCTTGTTGTTGATACATCTAAAGGAGGAAAGTAATTATTGTATGTATTATATCACATTGGTGTCCTTTGACTCACAATAAACAGTGTGAGTCCAAGTAATGCATGTATTATATGTATAATGTAATTGTAATGTATTATTATTTTTTAAATAATGTCATGAATGATTTTTACATTTTAGTAAAATGTTTAATATTATATTTAAATTTAAAAAATTTTTAATGTGATATATGAATTATGAAGATATTAATTAATGTACAACTTGGTGGGTTATTTATCCGTCACATGTAATTATTTGTAGCTAATCACGTTTGAAATAAGTACTACATTAATTAACATGCTGTAATAAAATATTTAATATGATACTTGAATTTTAAAAATCTTAATGTAGTACTTAAATTATAAATTTATTAATTAGTGTAATATTTGAAAAATTATTTGTATGCTACATGTTATCATTTGGAGTCTGTTATATTGATATAAGTACTACATTAATTAACAGATTCATAATTAACGTACCATATTAAAGATTTTTAAAATTTAAATATCACATTAAATATTTAACTATAGTTTAAAAACCATTCATGATATTAACATTTTTTTTAGTACTTAAGTTGTCATATATTAATTTTGATTATTAAAATTAAGAATGTAATAATCTTTCAATAGACTACATGATTATTAACAACATGTTATTATTATTATTTATCATATATTTTAGATATAAAAAATGTAGGATAAAATTTTAAAAAAAGTATTTGAGTTATTTTACTTTTTTAAATAAGTTCATATATTTTTATTTGTATTTAAATAAACTTTCATATTTTTATTTGAATCCAAATAAACCTGTATTTCAAATGAAAGTATAATTTATGTTAGAGGTTTATTTAGATACAAATTGAAAATTTAAGTATTTATTTATATATAAGTTAAAATTTAGAGGTTTATTTAATACGAATAACTTATTTAAATGTAATAAAAGTATAAAAGTTTATTTAAATAAAATTATAAATTCAAAAATTTTTTATTATTTCAACCTAAAATGTATCATACGATTGAGTTTTTGGATATAATAAATTATATATATTTAAATTTAAAATATTTGAATCAGAATTGAATCAAAATACTTATAAATCCGTTTCAACTTTTAAATTGAATCGAATTATCATAATTGAGATTGATTTTGTTCCTCAATTTATATTTTAAAGAGAATTCAAATTTGTTAATATTATTTTTGAGTTATACTTAAATAAAGAAAGGAAAATTATTTTATTTTACAGAACAAAAAAGTAAAAACGCAATTCAGCTCAACTATTTTGTTTTTTCATTTACAACTCAAAAGTAGAAACAAACCAAATGCATTTAAATATTGCCCAAACCAATATGGTGAAAACCAATTGCCTTAAATCAACCACTTACATTCATAAATATATATATATATATATATATATATTTGTATGGGATATATGTTGTTAGTAATTTGAATGGAAGGTGAAGACTAGTGGTTGAGAATTAAGGGGTAAAGCATCATGTAGGTGAAATATATATGTATTTTAAGATTTAATTATATAAAATATTTTATTTTTAAATATAATAACATTTTCGAGCTATAAGCAGGCCAGACTCATGTTTAAAAATCTTATAAAGCCCCGTCCAACCCATGCTTAGACACACC